ACAGCCAAGCTAAGTTTATAAAGATTGACGTTGATGAATTTGGTGAAATTGCTCAAGAATACGAAGTCAGTTCTATGCCAACTGTTATCTTCTTCAAGGGAGGTCAAGTTGTCACCAAGGTCATCGGTGCCAACCCAGCTGCCTTGAAGCAAGCCATTTCGGCCAACGCTTAAAGAATGGATAATTAGATACAATATATATGTTATAATTGAAGTTATTATTCGTTAAACTAATTAAAATGTCGAGTGTAGGAAATATATAGTCGTATGAGGAAGAGGGATGTAAGGGGTCTAGGTGAGACTACCGAGGAAGTCACCGACAATATCAAAATGAGAGAGATCATCCCAATGGACTGCTGGGTCATTCTTGGCCTCAAGATTTAATTTGTTCCGTAAGAATATGAGTAGGGTGTCGTAGATCAAGTAGTATTGACGTAAGTTTTGGACCATAGAAACACGCTGTCTTCTGAAATTATCAACCATCGAATATACAGGGTCAAATGCTAGGTCAAAGCTAGGATTTGCTTCGAGGATATTGATGAGCGAATCAATTGTGCATAATGTTCCTGTTCTACCACATCCTGCGGAACAATGGATGATTGTGGGAAATTTTTCCACCTTAGACGAACATTTCTGGAGAATATGATGCTTCAATGCAATAATTGATATTAAGTCTTTGGGTTGCAATACCGCCCCCATATCAGGCCACGATAATAAATGGACCTGGAAGATTTGGTGAGGCTCAAGTCCATCCATTGAGACCTCAAACCGTCTCAATATAATAGTATTTTGGTTTTTATAGTTCATACTATCAAGCATCTTCACTTTGATTATGTTATTATTCGACTTGTATTCACCAGACTTCCAGAATGGTGAACATTTGTTGACACCGTTTTCAAATTCATCTGTAAGTGAAATTACTAACGGGGTTTTATGGTTCAATACACATTTCCAAAAGTCACCTGTGGTTTCGTTTAATGGCCCCTGAGCGCCGATGTATTTTATATGATGAATGATCTTACTTGTCTCCGTAATCCTTTCTAAATCCTTTAAAGGGTTTAAATATGATGCATTAATGTAGTCACATAATTGTCCCTTTTTGGTCATAGTAGGTAAATCATTCAATTTAACTCTAGAATGCTCAAAGAGAAAAATGTCCTTGTATCTATTTTTATGTCCGTACTCAATGCCGGAACTGATGGATGGGGCTTGAAGGCTTTCAGCATCTATAACTGAACCACCAGGGGATAATTTTTCTTCCTCTATTTTGTCATTAACAGTAGTCGATTTATTTATAGTGAATGCATCAAGTAATCTATGCTTTTCGTTTTTCTCCAAGCTATTAAAGTCTTCAACCAATTTGGTCCTTTTTGATAAACTGCTGTTTATCCAAATAGGTAAGCAATTTTGATCATGGCTTGAAAGCTTATCAAAATGATGGGATAAATTAGTCAAACTCAAATCGGAAGCGCCTTGTAAATTATCAGCCAAAAATTCTTCGTTATGCCTAAGTTTGAATTGTTTTTTTGGAGTTTGAGGAAGTTGAAAATTGGACAAAATCGGCGTACTTGTATCCACCATGTTTATACTTTTAATAGTTGGGATATCTGATAAAGAAGACGATCTGAATTTCCCGGCAATATTTTTTACAGGCAACAGGGGAACTGATCCGTGCCTCACATTACCATTTCCAGATTCTACCAAGCTAGGAAATTTTTCGGAAAATTCTTGATATTTACTATCGAGAATAAAAATCGAGTCCTCCCATGACTTAAAATCAATGAACTTTTTCGCCATATGATACAAGTTCGGAGAATTATTATAACTATCATAAAGCAAAATGCTAGGAAACTCCGTGCAATTATCATCGGTACCTTCAGATTCGGCTGTGTTCAAGTTATTTAAATTTTTGCCACCATAGGTGGAAATATGCTCTTCGAAAATACTTTTTTCATAAGCAGGCAATGCCTTTATGCATCTATTCAAGTCATAATTTGCCCTCTTCAATAAAGTCAGGGGCAAACAAATATTGATTGATCCTTTTATATGCGATTTCACGTATTCTGTGAATGGTCGAACATCAATGACTAAGATCTCTGACAATTTTGACGTAGAGTTCATAATTTGTTTCATTATATCATTATTTGTATTTATCGAAATCGATTTGATCCGATTGGAGTTTTCTTGTGACAAAGTGTCTATGAGATCTTTACAATCGACATTAATCATCTTAGTTGGTTTTTTGAATTGTTCGTTCTGAACCATCTTGTACGTGTCACTAAGCGTAAGGGATGGAGTAGTAATATGCTTCTTCAATGATGGTGGGTAATTATTATTTAATATTGGGTCCATGTTTGGTAATGAGTTTGTGGGTATTAGGCTTGGCTGGTTTTTGGCTGGTGACCGATGAATGTTAAAATCAAAATTCGGCTCCACCGCCGATCTGGCTCTTTCCTCGTCCCTACTCAGTGTCTGTTTATGTTTGCCTGTAGGAAGTTGTAAATTAAGGGGATTTTTCTTCTTTCCATGTTCTATCTCTTCAACAAGGGTCTCTGTGGAAAACACGGAGTCATTCCTAGTATTTTTGACATTAATAGACCCCGATGAACTGTCACACACCGTTGAATCCGAGTTAATCGACGATAATGAATTATTCATCTTAGTATGGACTGACGGTGGTGCCATGTATCCCGTTGTCCCTTTATCAGACGTCGGAATCTGTGGATATTCGGGTTCACGCGTAGGGGTTTTGGTCGTGAAATAATCATTTGCGTCCCCCTTTGCCCCTTCAGCATGTTGTGATGATGGTGGAAATGTAAAGTTTGGTGATGCACAAATACTTGGTGATGAACTCATCCTTATCTATTTTGGTCTTTCTTCTATGCTATTGATTTTTGTCTCTCGTTTACACAAACAATAAAACTGTTCTGAAATCCGTTCACTTATACTTCAAATACTCTCTGAACGGCCCGGCACACTTTTTATTTCTCCTATACGGTATGTCTGTTTATATAGAACAATACCTTTGTATATCGTATACTTCTAGTAACTTTTCTCTGTTTTTAAAATTTTTTTTTCTTCCCTAGGATTTTTTCCTAAAATCGGTTCTTTTAAATAAATAAAATGCACTGGCTTAAAATATCATAAACTATTCCACTATACTTTATATTTACTAGTATGATTAGTCTTTTGTATATTAGCCATCTATATACTTCTTGTAGTAATATATTTTAGATAAACCCTTTTTTTAAATTATAAATAAAACTTGTTATATACCCAAAGCGGCTTGTTTCAAGACTTTTGATGAGAAAAACTAGATCTACTTATATACAGGTTTCAAAGTAACGGTTACTTATTATGGAATAAATATAGAAGGCATATACATGCTTACTACTACTTACATCTTCTTTTAGAGTCTCTCGACTTGTCATGGGAGATGTTTCGTAACTTTAGTTTAATTTTAGGCAATGGTTGTTCTGCAGGGATTTCTGGTGGGACTTCGGGTGGGTCAGATGGAACACCGACGCTGACACCAACGCCACCTCTCGACTTTCTGCGCTTGTTGGTAGATTTAGGATCTAGAGGGTCGAGCCGAGGATGTTTGTGCTCAGATGCATTTGTAGAATGAGCCAGATTCGGCGATTCATGTTGGCCATTCGGGTCTTGTTTTTGGTATTTTTGGTTCTTGTTTTGTTTGTGGCCCCGTTGATGTTTATGCACTGTAGGTACTGGTTCTTGATGGTCATCCGGGTCGCCCTCCTCCTCGTCATCAAAGAGATGAGGGTTATTGACCTTGTCGGTGGCGTCGTGGATCAAAGTGGCGTATTCGGACTCATCTTGCGCCACTCCATCCTTGATCATTTTTTTCATCAATTCGCTCTCTTCCTTTTGGGCGTGGGATGATGATGATGCAGGTGCGGACAGATCGGCTTGATCGAAGGGCGAGATGCTCTTGTCAATACTTACACGATGTACTGTGTTCAAAGTATTGCTCAATCCGTCGAAGTATATTTCGTTCACGTTCAAATTCTTGCTGGGGTCCAAATTCTTCTGCTTTAAATTTTGCAAGCTACTTATCCCCTCCTCGTCCTGTTCTACTTCTGATAATATTTCACCGCACTTCAACGCTGCTCCATCTTGCGATGTATATTCCTTAGAGTGAGCGATTCTACTATGATTCAAAAAACCCTGTGCCGACGAAAAATTGCTTCTGTTGCAATCGGGACAGGTGAGCTTTACAATCACCCCATCGGTTCTTCTGTAAAGACATCCTAAACTTGTGGATGGCTTGCTTATTGATGTACTGGGTCTTAAAGATGATGTTGTAGATCGTGTTCTATATGAATATTTGGGTTCTCCCGCATACCCTTCTTCCAGTACTGACGTCTTTGGAGTATGCGACCCATCTGGTATACCAGAAAGATTAGAGTAATTAGCTGATAATGATTTATTGAGCAAGTTGTAGTACTTCACCGTAAAGTCATTGGGTTCATTCTCCAAACTCACCAGCGATGGAACCTCGAAAAATTTACGTAGTGTTATCATTTGAGACTCACATTTGCCTATTTCTTCTTTCGTGAGAGTCAACTCTTTGTGTTTCAACCGAATCTCCAAGTCTATTTGATTGGTAATGATATCTCGCAACTTTTCAATAGGTGTGTCCTGAAGTCTCTTAATTAGCATTTCTCGATCAACTGCCATGGTCTGCTGTGATGTTTCTTCGTCTTTATTATGCTCTATCGGTTCTTGTACACTTTGCTCTTGTGGTGCCACTGGACCCGTCTCTTCCATTTCTCCCCTAGGTATGTCCAAGTCATCTATATGTGCCTCTGGTGTGGGTATGGATGTGGGCGACATATCACTCATTGTATTATATATTAGTTCTGTGTTTGTTCTCTTCTTTTACCGTTGCATTTTGTTTATAAGCAGATTATCTAGGATTAGACGGTCGAGATTATTACTGCATATAGTGACTCCGATATCAAAACGTTGCTCGAATAATCACAACAATAAATCTATAGGGTCCTTTCCTTTAACACACTTCAGTAATAGCTGCTTATAAGTAAGTTCTCCTTTATAGCGTACTCTAGAAGCTCGTGTTCTTCTTGTAGTTATTTTTGCACCTGGTTTGAATTTAGTCTTGGTGGGCGCTTTTGGTGTAGGCTTAGAATTTACCTTCGATTTAGATTCCAGCCTGGTTCTGCATTTAGATACAGGTTTGGACTTTGCATTTGTTTGTGTCTGTTTAGGCTTTTCGAGTATTTGGTCCCGCTTATTTTCCCCTGGTGTAGATTCTTTCTTGGGTGCATTAACAATCTCCTTCTTCTTTGAATTTTTCTTGAGTTTGATATCATTAGCCGCAGGACAGTCAATAGTTTTTTTTGTATTTGACTTAGCTGCTCTTGGTGCTTTCTTAGCGCCAATTTGTTGACCTGCTTTTGTTGGTTTGGTCAGCTTTTTCTGTGGTTTGTTCGTCGCAGCACTATTGAGTGAGCGATTTCCTCCGTTAGTGGGAGGCGGCGATAGCTGCTCCATTAGCAGTATTAGACTCTCTTTATTTATTGAATCGTGGATTTTATTGATCTCAAGATCTAGCTCTCGCTGATTATTGATTTGCTCTTCTTCGATTACTTGACTATTTACCAATTGAGAGTTGAAGGGAGTAGATGTTGCTCTGAACTCAAGCTTCGTTTCAGCTTTCTCTTCTTCTTCAAAAATGGCCCGAAGATTCTCAAGCGAATAATCGTCCTTTTTTACTATTTTGGAAGCGACTGATCGCCGGTTTCGCTTTGGTCCTGGTTTCTTATTTGTCCTTTTCTTTCCCTCATTAATCTTATTGGGTGCATCTTGTAATGGAACTCTCTTCTTTGCTTGGTTGTTGGTTGATCTCACTTGTTTCGTTCGTGGGTAAGGTCTAACCGCTTCTAAAATAATTAGTACCGAGTTAAGCACTTTTTCACCCACACGCTTTAAGTATTCGATTTTTTACTTACTACTAGCATCTTCAAATACCTGAAATGCTTTTGGAGGCATTGGATATGTCTACTCAAATCGGTTCCACTGTCATGATAAATGGTTGTAAAAAACGAAGTAAATAGTGCACGACATTTTTTAATTTTTACGACATTTGACGATACTTTTCAGATCCACGACATTACTTACCAGGCTCTGTATAGCTGATAGTGAACTTCCTTATATCTCATATCATATTTACCATGTCCAAAGAGGATATTATATTACCATCTGCATCATCTTTGTCTACGCTAACGATCTCCGATACGCCAAGGTCTGGATTTGGGTATAATCCAGCAGTCGGTCCAACATCTAATGCCATAACCCAAGAAACATCGAATATCTTGTTGAACAAAAAAACAATAAATTTAACACCAACGTCGGCGAATTCTATATATGATAGAAACTTGAACAAGAAGACGCCGGAAATCAGCATGTCATCGTTATCGTTTTTGTTCTGTGAAATTGTCAATTGGTCCCATAAGAATTCCAAAGGAATCCAAGACTTGGAGCTGAGGCTAAATGGGCTTGGCTATCAGATCGGCCAAAGGTTTCTAGAACTCGTCAAGCTTCAGGAAGGAATAAAATACGGCAAGAGAGAAGTCAAAATTATTGAAATATTACAATTCATACATGGCTCGTTGTGGAAGTGGGTGTTTGGTAAAACTGCCAATGAATTAGAAAAGTCGCAAGATGTAAATAACGAGTACATGATAACAGATAATTCACCTTTGATGTCAAGGTTTATAAGCATTCCTAAAGACTACAGTAATTTGAATTGTTCTGCATTCACTGCAGGAATAATCGAGGGAGCTCTCGATTCTGCGTATTTCAATGCTACAGTAACGGCACATTCCGCTCCTAAGGATGGCTTTCCTTTACGAACAGTGTTCTTGATCAATTTCGACGATCTGTTATTCATTAGGGAGGAATTACGTTTCAATCAATAGGTTTATATAATGGAATACATGAAAAATCAAAAATGACACAAAATTGGAGTAATCCTAAAATTTTGATACTTCGACAATAATTCAACGATTGTAAAATATACTTCATATTGAAATATATAATAAACTATTGAGCATAACTGATTTGTAATGGGTTTAACTATTAGGCAAGCTACGGTGAATGATATCCAAGCTATGCAAAATGCAAATTTGCATAATTTGCCGGAGAACTATCAGTTGAAATATTATATGTACCATATTTTATCGTGGCCACAAGCTAGTTTTGTTGCAACAACATATGAAGATGTCTCAAATGATGTGACACTGACTGAGGACGAAGAAATAAAAGATCCAAAGGGAGATACTTCCTATATTAGGAAGGGAGAGAAGATTGTGGGATACGTATTGGGGAAGATGGAAGATGATCCAGAAGCAGAGGATAAGACTCCACACGGACATATTACATCTCTATCGGTAATGAGAACATACAGAAGAATGGGAATAGCTGAAAAGTTGATGCGTCAAGCATTGTATGCGATGTGTGAATCATTCAACGCAAAATATGTTTCACTTCATGTCAGAAAATCTAATAGGGCTGCATTACACTTGTATAGAGACTCTTTAAATTTTGAGAATACGTCAATTGAAAAGTCATACTATCAGGATGGGGAAGATGCATATGCAATGAGAAAAGAATTGAAACTCGAAGAGTTGGTACCATATTTATCTCAAATATCTGAAGAAGTCGATGATTTCTCCAAAGATTTGTTAGAAGATTTAGAGATACCTATAGCATAGTTTAATAAAAGTTAATGTATTACAGATATTATATACCCCAAAGTACGAACCATGAAAACAACTATTTAAAATGCAAATATAAAACTGAATTATAATAAGAGTAATAGAAACAAAGGGATTAATAACGTTCTTTCATTCTAGATGCAACTGTACGTAAATTACCGTAGACCTTACCTGGTGGCGAACCTAAAATCAATGAAACCACTGCTTCTCTGGCCATTCTAATGTGCGTGAACCCACCTAAAATATGTATCTTAGAATCAGCTAACACAATTCTGGTTCTTGTAGCGTTTTCAATCGCGAATTTAGTCTTACCATCCTTACCGGCAATTCTACCGATTGCTCTCGATAAATGGTCACCGTTCAAGGTCTTAACATCCTTGACTTCAAAGGTTTCGATATATAAGTCATCCAATCTCAATAATGCAATGGCATCATCAACATCAAATCCTAAGGTGAAAGCCTTGACAAAATCAGCTCCCTTTTGTAATGCACCCTGGTCCACAGTATTTTTGTTAGTCTTCATCTCGATCGTCTTGGTCTTCAAGTTCATTCTCACTTGCAACTTCAAGTGGTCCACTAATGGTGGATAGATCTTGGTCCATGTGTTCTTCAAAGGTGTCATTCTGTGTGGTGGTACCGGCACCTTTCTGCTTTCCAACTTGACCTTCATTCCTGATTTTGATGCTGCTGAAAACTTTGGTTTTCCACTCTCATCTAGCACCATTTCGCTGCTTTCCTTCTTTTTGCTAGCTCCCTCTTCGTCTTCTTGTGGAACTGAGCCTGCATCTATTAACATCTCTTCTTCTCCTTCTATTTCTTCATTGGAGACCGCCTCCACATCTTTCGATGCTGGTAATTCTTTGATTGCTGTTGGAGCTGCCATGTTTATCCTTTATTCGACGACTCTACAAATGAATCAATTGTATACTCTTCTTATCATAGAGTGAAAAAAAATACTCATCTCAAATTTTTTTTTACTAGAAAAGTCACGTGAGAATTCGAACCCCATATATGCTTAATAGAGGGCCCTTTCTTCATCTATACAACTGAAGATCGTGTGTTAATGTTGGAGTATGTATTCATATGACGTCGAAATACTCCCCTTGTGATTATTATTTTTATTAGATCACCCAAATTGAATTAAAGCCTAAGATTGGCTAAATCAACTAAATAGAAATTTTTCCACTGGCTGGTGCGAGATTTTTATGACTAGCCAGTAACTCTTGCTTGAAATATTTGGAATTTATTTAGCAATATTCACATAGATAGATAAAAAACCGTTAATAATAGTCGGATTAGTTAGAACGATAGTTGCTACTTGATATATTTCTTACGATTTTGAATTTAAGTGTGTGGTCGATTAGAAATGTTGATAATGGTCAAGAATATGGCATTTTCACGGATGGTGTTACGAATGCCGCTAAATGGTGGAATTAGCAATTTTGCCCGACCAATGGGATATTTGCATAGACCTCTTTCTGGACTTTCTGTATTTTCAAGGATAATGACGTCTCAGAAAGGTAAGAGTGAATGGCGTTCTGTATGTGGAGTTAAGCATCAAGCGTTTTTTAGTACGATGGGAAGAATACAAAACCAGCATAAAGACAAGAGTGAAAAAAATAATTCAAAGATAACGAAGGCTGCATTACTTTCACAAGCTTCGAACCGGTTTTCAAAGTTTTTGATCCATATAAAATGGCCACTCATGAGAAATAACCGACCATTTACCATGGATGATTTTTCAGCCTTTTTCTCGTGGCTAGTAATGGGTAATGTACTATGGATTATATTAGGAACTACGACGTTTGGATTGGTAACTATGTATTCGATTCATACGTTTGATAATATCCGTAACTCTATCAAAACATATTACGCAGGTGAAGACGAGGACGATGGTCGTAACGGTGACAGGAAGCATTCCGACGACAGTATATTAGGATATATTACCAGTAGCATTTTATCCAATGGATTGGGAGTTATGATTGAGTTTAAAAAAGGAAATGTCCTTCCAGAATTAAAGGATGGTATGTTAAGATTTAAGAGGTTTAATGTTTACTCAATACACCCCACCTCACCAGAAGCAGGAGAAGATGAAGACATAATAGAAGAGAAGACGGCATTGAAATTCAAGGCAAATGTAGAGACAATGGATATTTCATTGTCGTTTGGAAAATGGTACGAAGGCAAAGGATTGATAGATGAGCTTGAAATATATGGTATTAATGGTAAGGTTTATAAAAATAGCGAGGAGCATCAGGATGCTTCTGTTGAAGAATATTTACCTTTTTCTGCTGGAAGATATAACGAAAATCTCCATTTCCAATATGACATGAACGACCATAGTACCGAGGAAATGGAATTGGTAAAACAGAAACGAAAGAATTTTTTGATGGAATCTAATTATGAGATTTCGCATGTCAAGATTCATGATTCCTACGTTGAAATAATCGATGTTTCCAATAAAAACCCGTTAAAGATTTCTATATTCAACTGTGATTTGCCACAACTAAGGGGAAGCCGTTTATTAATTGACTTTTTCAATGCCAATAATGTGACCGGTGCAATTAATGATTCCATGTTTACTATTCACAAACGTCAAGAATTTAATAATCCAACTAATGATAATAAGATTGTAAGATTCAAGTTAGACGGAATCAACATGGAAACTATTTCCCATAGTCAGAAACTGAAATTTAACTGGATTGTTAACGGTAAAGCAGAAATAATCGCTGATATTAGGTTACCTTCAGTTAACAAAGAATCTGAAAATAACCTTACACTTGGGAATGAATATAAGAAGATTTCTGATATCTGTTCTGAAATATTCGATGAATTGATTGACGTGACTAGCCCATCATCCCCGGAAAAATTACCTTCTGCTGAAAAGAATGACAATGATAATACTCTTTTGAAGAGTGCGTTGGCAGCTATCTATCAAACTTTCTCCCCAAGCAGTGAATCGAAGGAAGCTTACAACACCACAGATCCCTCATCGGAATATGTTATTGTAAATTTCAAAGTTAAATTTTATAATTTGAAAGCATGTTTGCCGCAACATTTGCCAATGGCATTGTCAAGCTCGCTCCCATTTATCGGTTTACAAGATTTACGGTCATTGATTGCTTACGTGAATGACAATGCATCAAACAAACCAATAATAATTAAAACGACTGTTATTGAAAAACTATCTGATTTATACAACATAGAAAATTTAAGCCAAACCAAAATCGTCGATGAAATTGTGAGCGACGTATACGATAATTTATTAAAAATTGTCAAATTAGATGAAAAAAGGATTATTAATGAAAAGACGTCATCGTGGACTCACACTGTTGCTAGTCAGCTATTATTATTAGGATTGGGAGTTCTCGCATAATTCCGGTAATACTATTGACATTAGCACAATAAAGAATTATGATTTATGATACCATGATTTGCAAAATATTTATCGTAAACCCTACATGAGTAAGGTTGATTTATTATTATTTTGTTTATTTATTTATTTATTAACTAATACAATACGTTCATTCGTATCCGTTAAATTCCTTGTAGTGATTTTATTTTGTAGTATTTAAATCTTCCTTATTTCTCCTTACTACAGGAATATCAAATTTGGCACCTCTTTTTCCTGATAAATCAGCCATTAACTCATCTTCGACAGCTTTGGCCCCAATCCCCAATAATACACCTTTCTTCCTTCGTTCTAATAAAGGCTTCCCAGCCGATTCTCTATTCTTGCCTTTATTCTGTTTCCATCCCATTCCTCTTAGCAACGCCGCCCCAAACTGATCTACCGGTACCTCTTTGTATTGATCTATGGACTCTTCATCTGGTTTCGAAGATATATCATGCTCCACAATTTCGTCTTCAGAAGGAACCGGTATTATCAAACCTTCGTCATCTAGTTCTTCTCCCTTTAGCAAAGACAGTCTTATGCGCTCCTCCTTGGACATAGCTTCATTTGATTCCGCATCTACTACAGACTCTTTCGAATTAGAGCTTTCGGGCACACTCAATCCAAATTGAAGATTGTTATCATCCTTCGTTTCCACCTTTTGTCTATGCTCTTGGTTAGGAATGTACATGCTATTTTGTTTCTTTCTTATTTCTTCTTTCCAATCCCTACTCATAGTTGTAGGTTTAATGATTAACGGTTCTGTGATCTTGGTATTAATTGCCTTATTTCCAGCAATGGCCCCTCCTTTCTTCTTGTCAAACGAATCAATAGCTACCACAGCGTCTTCACTTTCTGATTCAGACTCAGATCCAACCAATGCGTTAGGATTGAGCTTCCTTGCTTCATTTTTTTGCAGCGATGCAATTGACTTCTTAGGTATGATATTAGTCTTCGATCCCCCAAATGCAAATGATATTTTTGGTTTTGTTTGCAGATTTGGTTTATTTACCTTGTCCTTCTTAAGATTCATTTGGAATCCAGCCATCCTGTCTCCAAACTATCTTCTTGCAACCTGTAGTTTCTAGTTTATGTCTGTTACTACTATTATGACCTCATCTTGTAAGTGAGTTGATAGTGACACAAAAACACGTTTAGCTAGCGCGGTGCAACACTATCAGATGTGTTTAGTTTCGTATCAACTAGAAAGTATTGTAAGCGTTACATTTGAAGTGGATGGTCAAATGCTTCCTCGATCCCGAGAGCAACATAACAAGCTAACTGAAGGTGAGAATCAAGAACCAATTTACATTGCACTGTCGCCGGGCCAAAATCATTTACATCAACAAGACAGTTCACAGTCGTTCAACTCGACCTGCTTTACAAACGCTTCTTTAAATATGAGTTCAGATGAGTCAATTATGTTTAATGATGGTGAGTTCTCTAAATTAGGCATTGAAATTCCAGAACCTGTAAGTAGAGATGAAAGTGGACATGTCGCTACATCTGATTTTATGGACAAATCACAACAACCAGATCAAGACAAAGTCTTTACTAATATATTCGCAACAGATTCTTCAGACACATTTAGGGACGCTCAGGATTCAAATTCACAAGCCAATGTGTCTGAAGTTCCGAATAAGGCTAATTTAATGACAATTCTTTCTGGTAAACAAACATCAAAAAAGTCTAAGTCAAAGGTACGAACTAATGAAGATAAAGGACAAAATCTTTATGAAATTCAGGAACCGGTTAAAGAAGAAGAAATTGAGCACGATGAAGATGTTAGTTTAAACGAATGCATAAATGACTCTTTCACCGAGTCAAAAAGTAATGATTTGCGAAAAGAACATGAGATGCTAGAATTAGAGAAGAAGTTTTATAATGACAATGTAAAGTCTGTCACAGCTAAGGATTTCTTAGCGAAGCTAAATCAAAAGACAAATAAAGATACCGAAAATGTTGAAGAAACGCCAATTTGCATTAATGAGGAAGGTGATGGAGAGCCTGTTCTCATAGAAATAGATAGTGACGAAAACAAGGATGAAATCGAATTATTAGAATCTAAAGTTTTCAGCGGAAATATGAAAAGGACATCTGCAAGAGATATATTTCAATCTTTCAAACCGCTGCCGGTCCTACTGAATAAGCAGAAACCAGCAAATGTAAGTAATCATTCCTACACGGTTTCCTTCAGAATGAGCCCAACAAGCCTCAAAGAAATCCAAACAAACAGTAACCCATTTTTCACGAAAGGAAATAAACAGACAGCATCGTTACCTGGAGCAAAATCCCTTTTTGAAACTTTAATGCAAAACCCAAGTTCTAAAAAGAAAAAACTAGTAACACTCCGAGTTGAACCTAATAGTTTACGAGAAGTAACGAAATCTTTCAATAATCCATTATTTTCCAGGGGAACAGTAGGTAATAAGGGCAAAAGCGCTAATAGCGTTTTTAAATCAATGATGGAAAATGCGTCAGGAAGTGCACCTAAGTTATCCACCTTGCAGAAACTAAAGGAACTATATCCACCATCAATACCAAGAGAACAATTACATGTTTATGATAAAAATGATGCCCCTAGTCCCAATTCTCAAAGACTATTGGGGCTTGTATTGAAACCTGAGCGACAACCGTATCAGATTCTACATCAAGATATGATAGGGGAAGATATATCAACTATCCTAAACCCAGCACAAGTCGATACTACACCACATAAATACAAAGTAGAAATCGAAACGTACTCAAGTAAGGATAAGCTATTAGAATCTATATGCAATGATATGCCACTGATGCAATTATATCCTCCATTAATGAACATATACAATAGATATTTGGACACATCGATTGATTGCAATAATAAAGAGTCACTGTTGTGGACAACTTTATTCCAACCTCATCGTATGACTGACGTTTTAATATCGTCCACGAAACAGAACGATATTAAAACTTGGGTTCTGAATTCATTTGCAAGATTAAAATCGCAGACACTCAAAACTCCTAGAAATGTTTTACTTAAACAACAAAAAAGGCAGAGAAAGAATGCCTATAGTGGCATAGATGGCTTTGTAGTAGATGATTATGGTGACTATTTTCAAGATGGGTCGGAAACTGAAGAAGACATCTTTGTTCCGCTTTTAATAATTCACGGATCTACTGGTTCATGTAAATCAAGTTCTGTTTATGCTGCCATCAACGAAATTAATGGTTATGTGTATGAGATTAATTCTGGACAACCGAGAGGTAAGAAGGATATTTTGGGAACTTTAAAGGAAATGTGTACAACTCACCTAGTCCACAGGCAAAGTGAAGAAAAGCAATTTCAAAAAGGTATTATTTTACTTGAAGATTGTGACATTCTTTTCGAGCAGGATAAGAACTTTTGGCTTGCCGTTCATGAAGTTCTCAATATTTCCCGAAGACCACTCATTATTACGTGTAACGATCTAACAGCTATTCCTCAAAGTATTATCGACTTTGCTAATGATGAAGATGCTATAATCAATCTTGATGAAAAGGATAATGACACCTTAGCGAATTTCAAAAACTATTTACTGTTATGTTGTATTACTCAGGGATTTCAAATAGATGCCCCTATTCTTGAAAACATATTAAAGAATTGCTACACCGGGAGCTATGATTTACGTAAGGCTTTAATGTCTTGTCAAATATTATGTCAAAATTATGCTATTAATATTCCGGATGAAGCTAACCATGAAATTTGGATCAGAAAAATCAAATACAATTCCTTGGATCAAACTAACAATACGGAATACTCCCTTGATGAACTATCGGGTAATATTGATCTTTTGTCAGTATCGGACATAATTTCTTCAAATTCACATTCATTAATTGAGCATGAATCAATACCTAACGAGCTTCTTGATATTTACTTCATTGACGAATCAACTAAATTAAGGCAACGTACCTTGCCACATGAATTGAATATCGGCAATTTTATTCTGGAGGCCAACCTAAATGAGGACCGACCATTGGTGAACATGTCGTCTTTCAATAAAATAAGAGAAGCGACTACAGCTTTTACTGCTTCACGTTCTAAAGAATTGCCTAAGTTTGTTCAAGATTTGTATTCCGCTAGGAGCGTAAGGGCGTCAACTAGATCAATGACTGATTCAACAGAAAGTCTTACTGACTGGCAGCGCGATATTACAGGAGTTTCAGACTCGTCAATCTGTAATTATTTGTCTCCTTTGCCATACATTTTAGAGCTTGCCCCATTTGCTAGACAATGGTGCCGTTATCAAAACTCGCTTGATGTTGTAGAAGAAGATACATTGAATAATCTGGGAGTAAGTGTTAAGAAATTTATTGGTTGGAGACAATTTCAAGATAACTCCAAACAAGTATTGAATACTTTTATATAGCATAATGTACAATAGAAATAAAATATATACATTTCTTCGAAAATCAGGTTTAGATAAATCTAGTTCTAGTTTTGACAAGTCCACCACCAAAAGATCTGGCAGCCTTATGCTTAAAATCGGTTGACTGTAGTCTTCTCCATGCCTCTTCTATGTGATATGGCATAATAGGCTTAGCTAATTCATCAGGTTTATCAAAAAGATATTTTCTCTTCCTCTTGTTCAATTCTTTGTTTAAGTTTCCTGCTTTAACTATCAGTTGCTGAATCAATTTTTCTTCTGCATTTTTAATCTGCATTGCTTCTTCCGTCAAGGAACAAACAATCTCAAACGTCAAAAACCCTAAAATATCCACAACATCATCATTTGGTCTGGAATCACACAACTGGGTAATTTGGGCCCATTCTCTAAACCTCTTTGCTTTTCTGAATGTAAATGATGCCTGACGGCATTCAGACCAATGCACATACTCTTCCTTAGTCATATTTCGAGTTCTGTCATCGGCCATCTTCAACCTCTTCAATGATGCCATTGTCGCCGCTTTTTCATCGTCGTCTACTTGTTCTGATTCCTCTGCTCCTTCGAGATGTTGTTCCGAAAACATGAATTGAAGCTCCCATGGAAGTCTGATTTTCAGCTTTTTATATTTAGTCAACATCTTAGAATCAGTGGCTTGTACTGCTGGTGCGCCAGATGTCCCACCACTAGCATCACCTTCCATCAATGATTCGGTTCCTCCTCCTTCTTGATCCTTTGCATTCTTACGAACATCCTTCCAAGAAAGGTAAGTTCTCAATCTGTTCACCTTGGCTTTGTCATGTCTCATCAAAAATATAACATCCTCAGGTGCTATAGACTTGGTTCCTCTAACACCAGCACTTTTAGTAGCTTGCAATAGTATTTCAATTACTTGACCTCGTACGATATCTTCAATTAGTGACGTTGTTTCTATGGGAGCATCATTGGATTCTCCCAGTACAAACATCATCTGCTGTATCTCTACTCGATACTTGTGTTTATTCTCCTGTGACGACATATTGTATGTATATACCTAGCAATATTAGTACATAGTTAGCTCCATGTAATCTAAATAAACCCTGGTTAATTATGGTACGGCCGGGTAACAGAAGAAACTATATAAAAGCGATTTAGATCGCCCTCTTTGTCAACATCGAAAATTTTTCAAAGTATCAAGAGATGAAAATATTCTACTGAAGAATAGCATTATTCGAATGGTATGTGCTCATGAGTATAACCCCAAGTAAGATTGATAAAATGATGAATCTGAGTGCATTTGGCTCGAGACTTTTTGTCGATGTGGAAAAACCCAAGCTACCTTATTTTTTTTTGTCTGACATTTTCAATTTAACTTGATTACAATTATGATTTCATTTAGTTTGAATCCATACTAACAAATGTGCAGTGTCTTAAGTAGTATATATTTAGCATGATGAATAAATGAATTACGACCAAGAAAATGTCAAATGTAGAATATTAGTTGAGTCCGCTTCTTGAACTTCCTCGTAGCTTGAGATCTTTCACTATGTCATTGTGATTTCCTTATATTGCAAACCAATATCTAGGAATGCCGCTAGCTATATCATGTTGGTTGGAATGCTTGTCATTGGAGAGGGAAAATTTTGAAGTCATCGAAGTTTTTGCGTCTTTGAAATGGGTGTACCTATTTGCTGCAAAAAAAGCCATTGCTGATTTATGCCAACCCAAAGCAGAGCCTAGCTATAAGGATACAATGGCTGTTATGTATACGGTTGTCTCTATTTTATATAGACTGCCATCATAGATATGGTTTATATATTATTTTTGTGTCAGTAACTACGGAAACCCAAAGTATATATAGTATATTGAATTACTTACCAATTTCTCTTTCATTATCTTGTTTATCTTTTTTAAGTTCATTTAGACTCGTCTAGGGTTGTTTAGTGTAAGCCGTAGTTATTTAAATCCTCAGAGAGGACATCTTGTACATTGTGTGTTTTTATTATATTTACGAAATTTTGCAGTAATTCTCAAAACTCTAGTACACTTGAAATAGTTTAGTAGCTTGTAGAACAAGAAGAATTTTGATTTATGTCAAATAATGAATTTGTGAGACGACCACCAAGATACTTAATACTTCAATATTCAGGTCCTAATTTACGATTGCAATGACCAGGACATAAATCTGATATCATTTTAGCTCGAGCTTTCATAAGTTAATTTGAACGATCGGTCAGATAAACTTGCAAGACATAGTATTATGTCCCAATTATAATTTGGATCAAATATTCAATAACTAATGCTAACTATCAAGTTTTCAACTACAGGACATTTACAGATCACAGTAAAATTCATTATACATTAATCTATGGTATTTTACAACCTAGTATATCATAACGCAATAACTAGAATCAAAAGAACACATAACGCTGCCACCAATAATCCAATGCAACAGTCACTAGCCCGTTCCTTATTTTTTTCAAGTATAAAGCCCACTCTCTTCAAACCCCGTTGAACCTTATTTCCAACTATATCCATATCCTCATCCAAACCCTCTAACATAAACCCCTGCTCCTCCAACTCCGAGCCCATCATTGTAGCTTGTTGGTTCAAGTTATGCATTGTCTGGTGAATTGAGTCCAACTGCAAGTCCTGGTTCTGTATGTATTCCTGCTGTTGATATTGCTCGAATTCACTATCGACTCTATTATTGTCATTAAATGGATCATCCTGCCCAGTATTGTCTTGTGAAATTCTATTTGACATCGTCGTTATCTCTCTCTGTCTATTAGGATCGGCTAGTTTTATTTGCCAATCATTTTGTAACGATTTAATCTTGCCTTCCAATTCTTTCAATACCTGTTTACGATTTGTGATATCCGTTGAATTCAATTGAAATTTCTCTGGATCTGTCTCACTTACTGTCACGGCTTGTGATAAGTCTTGTAATGTTTCATTAAGATCTTGATACGAATATTGAAAGTCTGTCTTCGCATCTTCAGTTATATACTTCGTTTTCAGAATGAAATCCTCGAGATTATGTATTTGTGACCAGCAGTCATCCTGAACATCATTGAATGGATCCATAATTGCTTACAAGGATGATGTTGTAATGTTTTTAAATGCATTTATCTACCAGCTTGTGACGATCATATTTAGGGACTTTTAAAGGTGTGTGCGGGATAAAATTCTACTGCCAGATCCATTAGGTTGTAGATTTATCCCTTTCTTTAGCATTAATACATACCACATGGACGCAGTAGACGAGACTAATAAGAGAGAATTGGAGAGAGTCGACTCAAACAATACTTCTGTCGAAAACGGCGGATCATCGTCGCATACAAAACGCCCCAAAACTGTTTCAGAAGATAAACAAGAACCAAATCATGGCAATGAATTGCCGGTCCATGAAGTGGTAGGAGGATCTTCGGTCAGACAATACTTGAATAAACACTTAACACAGCATTTGTTAGAGGGATTACGTGACGTGAGTAAGAATAAGCCTGAAGATCCATTGAAATATCTTGGGGAATTTTTGATCCAGAGATCGAACCAAATTGCCAATGGCGAAAGTGATACTCCTGCCGGTAGCATTGCTCCGCATGGTAACGATATGCCCAAGTCTAACACTGAAGATGACCCACCAGTGAAGTCAGAGCAAGATGATTAATGTTCCGGTAGTTTACCACAATATATTGTACACTAGACAGCCACTCTCGAGCCTAAATTTACACAGCCAAAACCTTAGATACGCCATTCAGAATTATACTTTTCGTAGTTTATATATGTCTAATAATTCTATATTTCGTCGTCATTTTGATGTAGAATTGTTCTTCAGTATGATCAATTTTTGCGCAATGTTTAAGGCTCACTAAAATAAAATGATATGAAATGGTAGCGCCATCAGGTATTCTTTCAAAAAGTTAAGCATATCATTAAAATGGCAGGTTCCAATACATTACGGCCATATTATGACCACGACACGTTTGATGCAGGGTACTCAGTGATTTTTAAGCCGGGCGTAGGGTTAATTGATACCGAAACAAATAAACCGATAACATCGTCATTGGCATCCTCCATTGCTAAACAGTCGTCACAAAGAAATTTTAAATCGGGACAAAGTATAGGATTGTCAGGATTGTCACGCAAGAAATCAATAGGTGATATAGGAATTGGGAAAACCACAACATCGAATGGCACGGATAAGAATTACATTTATGATTTGGAGTTCCAGGAATACTTTGACTTTAATAATTTATCTGAATTACTTAAGAATTTGGTTTGGAATTTTTGTAAGAATTACTTCAAGGTGTTGTTATCACAGCCTTTGGAGATCGTTCGTTTGGTTTTACAAGTGGGTACATTTGACATTAGTGATAGTCAGCCTAAGAGACCTTCACGCTACTCCAGATTGTTGAATAAACAGAATGTCAAAAGTTCGGATACACCACAGGTGACCGACATATCTGATGAATCAGATGGTGAAGTGAACTATTTTGAGTCGCCAAGCCCCTCAATGAATTTGCCGAAGGAGAAATTAAGAACAAAATCACCTACTAAGATTCGTAAACTGCGTTCTGACAGAAAACCTAAGAATAAGAACAAGATTCAGCCTGTTTCTCTTCACACAATAGACATTATGTCGTCCATAATAGCAAAGGATGGACCTTTTGCCCTTTTCCGAGGTATTAATGCATCATTTATACACCAGACATTGTCTCATACCATAGAAGCTTGGATTACTGGGTTTATTTCGCCCTTCTTGGGGATTCCAGACCCATTTTTCTTGGATTTAACGCACCTGACTGAACCTTTGAAATCATTATGGTTATCAGTACTGGCATGCGTATTGACGGGATTGATTTTGATGCCACTAGATTTGATTAAAGTGAGATTAATGATCACTCAATTCAATAAGCCCCCTAACAACGAAGAAAGCGGAGTTTCGTCTACTGATTCCCTGGTTACAAATATCAAGGAAGAAAAAATACTTGAAATAAGTACTCGTTCTATCCGTGACTCAATATGCAACTTCCCTACTCATTTCCTTGTCCATCCGCCACCTACGATATCCTGCTTAACGATATTGCACCAGTTTTCAACCAGCATCTTCCGTAAGGCTGCTCCATACATTTTGTTTATCAGGTTTAATATTGACTCTTACCTGTCACCAAACTTGTATACCTTTGTGAACCTCTTCCTGTTGATATTGGAATTCTTCATAAAGTTGCCCGTGGAAAACTTGTTAAGAAAGGAACAAGTAAGATTCTTATTGAGACCTAAGTCAGTGGTGGAAGATGAAAAGAAAGTCATTACTATCGAGAGCGAAGAGGACGATTTGATTATCGACTTTAATAATGGCTGGAAGGATGACATTGACAACGAAGTTGAGGATTCTGATGGAGAACTTAAACCTCTCAAATCAGTAAGCTTATGGCAAAGAATTAAGATATTGGGCTTGTTCAATGGTTGGAGAGTCGGTGTCCTAAACGTTATTGGTTTCTGGGGCTATAATATTTTAAAGAAAAATGGCGCCGAATTGAGAGAAGAGCGATTATGAGTTTCTGTTAATGACCTTCTTAATGACCTTCTTTGATATTTGTATATAGATATTGACATCTTTTTGAGCTTTCGTCTTCTAGTAGTATATTATAATTATAATGTCTTGTATTATCTTCACGTGACATGTAATTGTTATATTCGTAATTACTCTTGGACCTAAGTCTCCTTCTACTTCATTACTTTATTGTATTTATACAATTAATTACAGAAGTATTGATATACTATGGCTTCAGCAGAACCGTTTAGTACTGATGATTTTGAAAACAATAATCCATTTTCTGCTCCAAATCATGATGATCACATAAATCAGGTCGAAGAGCCAGCATACGAACAAGAACCAACGAATGAAGAAATAGCGGACGAACAACAAGATAATGCTAATCATGATGTGAAGGGTTACGAGCAGTTATCAGAAGAAGAGATGCGTAAGTTATTACCAGAAAGATTTACGGATAAATATCAGATCAAAATAAAGCTCACTGCAATCGAGAAGAACAAGGCCGGAAATCCAATATTGAGATTCGATGCCACGGTCAAGGGGTTGCCAAAGTTTCGTAGCGAGAAGTATAAGGATATTCGTCGTACTTACAATGAAATTGTGAAGTTTAACAAATACTTGACTGTTTCTAACTTGGAAGTATTTGTGCCAGTTATTCCTCTGGCAATTACATCATATCCCGCAAACGGGGAGGACGAAACAAAGCAATTACATAGCGTATGGCAAGAATGGTTTAATAGGATTACGAGTAATCCAATATTGATTCGGGATGAAGAATTTGTGTATTTCATTGAAAATGATTTTGGGTATTCCGTTATTAATAGTGGCCGTAAATCATCGGTTGCCAGTGGCTTGGTTCGTAAGACTTTAAAACAATTGGCCATTCCTTACGATCCATATGAAGACTTAGCTGAGTTTAGGCCTTTGATTAAGTCGTCTTACTTGATTTGTCAGAAATTGCATAAATTATTGGACAGGAATTCCAAGGCTGAAAAACAATTATCACTTCACATCAATGAGTTGGCGACGAAGCTAAACAATTTATCGGAATTTGAGATTATACATCCAGGTATGAAAAATATGTGGGAGAAACTTTCAAGAGTAACAACTATTCAGTCAGACTTGACTTTGATTCAACTGATTAATGATATGGGTAGTTTGGGAGATGGAGTACAAACCTTAATTAATGATTTCTATGAAATTAAAGAAGCGCTCACGAATCGTCATTTGATAATGAGAGAATTATTGCAAGCAGAGACTCAAACGAAAACAAAACACTATCAAGCTACTAAAATTAAGAACAAATCTGCCTTGGATCCTATAAAAGTTGACGAAGCTATAAGATCTTTAGAGTATGCTACTAAGACTGAGGAGTCACTTAACTTGCAAATAAAGAGGATTTCAGGTGAGATGTTGTACGAAAAGGAAGAAGTGCTAAAGCACGTTGACCAGAAATTTCAAAAAATGTTTAAAACGTATACGTTAAACAGAGTCGATCAGCATAGAAAAATCCTCAAGCATTTGGAGCATATACGATTAGATATTAGGATCATTGATGACAAAGGTGGGTTATCGAGATTAAACAGAGACAATTTGAGCAATTTGAAGCACAACTTGTCCCAGTCCCAATCAAACAACGGCGATTCGTGGTCTTCCAGAACCTTCAGATCGTTAAAAAATGACAGAGAAGCTCAAAAGGAAGCATCAAAGAATCAAGACAATTCAAACGACGATGTTGTGGATGCCAAACGTGCAGCTAGTATATTAGGAGTTGCTACGTTTTAAAGTGTTCTCATAATTATATATATTTAGAATATATTTAGTTAACTAAGTATCTCTTCTCAGCTTCCTTCCAGTTAATAACGTTCCAGATGGCCTTGAAGTAATCAGCCTTAACGTTTTGGTACTGTAAGTAGTAGGCGTGTTCCCAAGCATCAATTGCAAGCAATGGAACTAATGATCCGGTAACAGTATCTTGGTTGTAAGTAGTAACAACATCTAAAGCTCCACCGTTTTCCTTGTTTTTGACAAGGAAGGCCCATCCGGACCCTTGAATACCGGCCAACTTAGCGTTGGCGATCGATTGCAAATTTTCGATCGATCCGTATTGAGCAGCAATTCTTTGTGCCAATTCCGAGTCCGACGATGGTGGTTCACCACCACCTTGCTTTTCTGGTGCTAAATTCTTCCAGAACAAACAATGGTTGGTGTATCCACCACCATGGAAGTTGATGTTCTTTTGTAATTCAATGGTCTTCTTGACTTCACCCTTAGATTTAGCTTCGGCTTGTTGCTCAATTGCAGTGTTGTAACCGTTGACATAAGTTTGGTGGTGCTTAGTGTAATGCAATTCGTTGATTTGTCCCGAAATGTGTGGTTCTAATGCACCGAAGTCCCAGTCCAAATCTGGCAAGGAAACCTTAGTTCTAACTGCTCCAATTGTGCTCTTAGCAGCGGTATTTGAAAATCCACGAGAAACTGTATTTCTTAAAGTCGACGAAAGCATTATTATTGTTATCTTATAATTATCTCTTAACAATTCAATTAATGCTAATGAGAGAAAAAGTCTTCCTTATATACTATTTATGATTGCGATTTATATAAATGCATATTTAATTGGTTGCGGTAACCGTCGCATATACACGACCAGATTATTAATAGTATGAAGCCCTTAGATTTGGAAGCATCTGTATAGGGTTCGTAAATGGAGGGCCGAAACAATACCGTTCCTGTAAGGGTATGTTATACAGCTTTAGGTGAGGTTCTACGGGGGAATTTGGTATAGTGAAAAAGAAATGCGTAGTCTGTAGATAAACGTATGGAAAGTTTTATTTGGTCATTTTGACGAATTGTCCAACCACGGGGATCGAAAGTCACCGGGACAGTGGATGTGTGGAAGAATGGGTCCAGAATGGAGCTAGTATGGGACTAGGAAGGTCTAGTACGGGACTAGGAAGGGGATAGAAAAAAAATCAGTTCCGCAAAGCCCTCAATCTCTCGGCCAATTGGTCTTCTTTTTCTTCGGTCATATTAGCCGTAGGAGGAGCAGACACTTCCACGTTGGTTTCGTTGAGGCCCTGCTTCATTTCGATGCCCGCCTGGTCTGCGATCTGGTTCATGAGCTCGTCCACTTCTTCCTGTGGGGTGGTCAACGCATTGACATTGTTGGTGGCACCCTCGTAGTAATTGGTCGACGCATCCAAATCTTCAAATTGGTTCTCGAATTTGTCCATCACCACCGAGATTCGCTCAAGATTCATGGTCTGGAGCGCCTTATCCATGCCCTTGATCACCTGGGTCATATTGCCTGTCACCGATCTCATGGTCACCGCCGTTTGGACCCTCGACGCAACCGCATCTATTCTCGATGCCAACCTCAACAAGCTCACCCTTTCGTTGGACTTTCTTATAGCATTTTGAGCATACAACAGAGCAATATCATTATTACCTTGAATCATCGCCTTCTTGGTTTTGGCCTTCTCTTGCAATTCCTCCTTCGCCGCTTTCGATGCCTGTCTGTTGAGCTGTTTGGCTGTGAATTTAAGTTGAAACAAAGATTGCTCTAACCCTGCCATTATACTTTCTATACTTCTTTATATTCTTTGATTCTCCGGCCAAATGATCTCCCTATTAACTCAGTCTTATCAACAACTGAGAATACAAAAATCTGCCAGGGTTACTTCGATCACGTGCCATACGCCTACAGATTACAAGCTTACCATGAAATGGATCGATTGATTACCTATGTACTTTGTATCTAGTCAAGATCTCCTGAGAACTCTGGCATGTCCATGTCTTCATCCGAACGAGGAGCAGAGTTACCTCTTCGTTGGCCGTTATTCTCTGCAGGGGCGGCATCCTCGGATCTTGAATTTTGGTCAGTGTTCAAGTCTTGGGATCCAATAACAATATGGCCTTCACCGTTCTGGTTGCTGAACGATTGGGAAAGGATGTTGCCAATACTGCCAGCCATGTTCTCGGGCATTATTCCACGTAATACATCACGGACGACGTTTCTGCCGGCCACTGGAGATGGGTTGCGAGGTTCGCTCGTGTTGGTAGAAGTGCCTAAACTTCCTGATCCCGTACTGGAAGGTTCGCTAGCGTTACGGTTGACGTCATTATCATTACTTGACCTATTATCATTACCAGGAGTATTATCGGTTGGAATATCAATAGAAATCAGCCCAGTCCCTTCAAACATGTCACCGAAATCATTTAGGAAGCCACGCATCCCCGATGCAGCATTACGGGGGCCCTGCGGTCTTGTAGCATTTGCCCCAGCTTGGCCATTTGCTGCATCACGGTTTCTAGTGACCCTTTCGAAAGAGGTGATAGGTGTTGCCGGAAGCGTGATGGCGGACGCTTCGATACCGCTATTGGCAAGCATGTTCTGAGACACATCTTGATTGAGAATACTAGGTCTTGTACGATTGAGCCTTTCTGCTGTAGGTCTAAAAGCAGAATCTTCAGCACTTGCCGAGTATGTGAAATATTGCATATCCTCGTTAGATGCTGACGCTCTTAATTTAGCTAGAATAGAGCGAACATTACTGACAGCGGACTTGATCTCTAGCGTCGGCTCTCTTTGCTGGTAAGCACGCTTTTCTGTAAGAATAATCGCTTGAATTAATCTTTCCACAAATTGCGGCAAAATAGTTGCAAGCTTATTCTCTTGATATTCCACTACGAATGCTTTATTTTCATCCAACGGGAAATTCTCCGGTAAGATCTCGCCTATTGCAGATTTCAATGACATCAAGTAACATTTCAAAGCAACCAAACTTGTGCCCATATATAAATGACAATAACCCAATTGAACCCAGGCAGTAGTGAATGTTCTATCGTAGTTGACTGCCTCGTTTAAGTCTGTTATAGCTTCAGGGAAACAATTGAGCCCAATATATGCTATTGCTCTGTTAGTCAAGAGTTGGGGAAGGTTATTGGCAGTTGATAAGGAACATAAACTAATCGCATTTGTATAAATTTGAATAGACTGCGCATATGACAGGCCAGACATAAGGTTGTTACCTTGTTCTCTGAGGGTATTGATCAACTTAATGTTTGTCTCTTTATTTACTTGGTCAGAAGATGCCATCTCAAGGTAAGTTATCACCATATGTTTGAACCCTTCATAAAAGTCTTGTAGTGGTAATAACGGGTAAGCATCATCTCTCAACTCATTTACCACATCATCAATCTTCATGATCGAGCTTTCAGGTAGTTGTAGTACACCAGACAAGTTTGATACTAGACCACTAAGGTACTCCGCAACATAAAGCGTGGTAATATCAAAATCTTCTAACGACGAGTCCCCGTTCCATAAGCTGTTCTTGTGGATCTTCAAGGTGTTTCTCAATAGCACTCCAAACTTTGATGCCAATTCTGATTCACGCTCCGCAACAAGCCAGAAAGGAACCTTGTCCTTACTAGTATCACGCTCTATTTTTTCAATGATCTCTTTGGTTTTCAACTTACTAGGTATGTCAAATGAACTCACCTTAGGTCCCAAAAGCAAATCTTCAAAATTATACGACAAGGAATTAGCGAAGCTTCCATTCGTTCTGTTAGCCTTGATATCTTCTTCTCTATAATGCATCAATATCTTCTTGAATATAACCTGGTTTACATGCTGAATATAATATACGACATCTTGGGCCTTGATATTAGCGTCCGTTGGATCGCCCTGTGAGACTTGTTTGTATAACTTAGATTCAACGCTAACCAAATGCTGTTTCATGGCTAGAGCAAATGCATAGTTGAATGCAGACTCATTTGATGGAGAGTATATAGGTTGCATTATCTTTTATTCTCTATATTCAAGAAAAAGTGGTTATTGCTAAGTCAATCTTCTAAAATCGACTTGTCGCCCTCAGTGCGATCTTAAATCGATCTCACCAAATACGAAATAAGGAAAGAAAGAACAAGTAAAGTACTATAGATATATTAAGGATTTATAAAGCAATAATGGCATATAAAGAGTCCGTAACCCCCAAATCATTGCTCACACCAGAAAATTGTCACTCATCATCTCGTATACGGGCCTTTCTTCGTCTCTCTAGAATAGCCACAGATGATACTATCAGACAACATTTGAACGAGGTTAAATCCAGTAAAGAGTGTGACAATTACTTCGAATCAAAGATAGTACCCCAATGGGAGGCGAGAGCATCGATAATTCAGTATTGTAACGATTATGCTACGCATTTGAGACAAGAAACAACCAAAGGCAATACGGTGATGCAGAGCAGCAAGCAAGATCCCGAATCATTTGACCTCAGGGTTGATCCTTATGCAGTGAAGAAATACAATCAGCAATTGGAAGGACAATACTCGCAATGTAATTCAATTGACAATTGGGTAAAGAATGAGAGGGTGGTAGAAGATATTATACGGGAACAGACGGTTGATGTGCTCAACGATAAATGTTATTACCAAGACTGGATAGAGGAATTTAGGAAATTAAAAAATTTAGCTTGAATATATTCAAAATAGCGTTATATATGTATATGTATGTAAATAGTTGCACTTGATAAACATTAGTGTAAATTAAAGAACATGTAATTGCTTTGTTTGGTATATTTTCAATATATGTCGTTGCATGCAAAGAAAAAAAATTGGATTAGAACTAATAATACATATGTGGAAAGTAGCGTAAATATTGTAATAATATGGGATTACTTGTGGGCTGCGGCAGCGGCAGCGTAAGCCAATTTACTAAGTGGGTTGGCATTCTTAGGCGCACTTGAAGAAACCTCTGACCTTGTACTACTCGAGCTAGGGACCTTTTGTTTTGGCTTTTTGCCTGGCCCTTTATTCGCTTGTTTCGGAGCTTTCTTGGTTTTACCATTGTTGTTGGATGTTTTATTAGTATCCACCATTTCCTTAGCCATGAGAAGGCAATCAATCCACCCATAATTTTTACCGAGTTTGATTTCGTGTCCATCTTTATCGAGAACCTTTACAGAATCTTTGATTAAAGGCGAGTTCATATCGCTGACTCTTTTAAGGAATATTAAATCACCCTTCTCTCTTATTAACTCCAAGATAAGATAGCCATATACCTCTTGTCCTTCTTCAATACTTCCATCTTCATCTTCGACACTAATACTTTCGAATTCGTAGTCGTACATCAGATAATCTCCACCTTGATTTGCTTTCAAATCAACCATCATAACATTGAGCGAGCCATCAATAAAAAATACTCGAGCTTGGTTTGTAATTACCGTAATGACAGGTACGGATGTTCTCTCTAAGGTGTTATTGAATCTGGTGATCAAATCATCAATCATGGAATCATCTAACAGCTGAGAAGTATCTCTTTTCACTTCTTTATTACTTAAAGTCAGCCTCAAAATGATGTCCATCTTCAAGATCTTCTCAGTGGGTTCAAGTAAGCCATGTATTTCCCTGAACTTTATACTTTTATCATTGTGTTTCTCACTAGGGTTCTCATCAGTAGTTGATGAATTGCCATTCATTGTTGATTGTGATTCTCTCGTGCTACTGATCTTTTTCACAAATTTTGTAGAATCTTGTTGAGGCGATCTAGGCCTTGAAAGAGGGGGTGATGGACGTTGGAAGTTATTGCGTTCTACAGGGGAATTTCTATTCATTTGAGGTATTGTTGGAGAAGCACTCTTTCTCTGAGAAACGTTTGCGGCTGCGGCCGCTGCATACGATGGTTGGTTCACTTGAGGAGTAGCTGGTTGTTGTTGGTGTTTTTGTTGTTGTTGTTGTTGTCGTTGCTCTTGTTGTTGTTGTTGTTGTTGTTGTTGTTGTTGTTGTTGTTGTTGTTGTTGTTGTTGTTGTTGTTGTTGTTGTTGTTGTTGTTGTTGTTGTTGTTNTGTTGTTGTTGTTGTTGTTGTTGTTGTTGTTGTTGTTGTTGTTGTTGTTGTTGTTGTTGTTGTTGTTGTTGTTGTTGTTGTTGTTGTTGTTGTTGCTGCTGCTGGTGCTGCTGGTTTGGCGTTTGGGCAAATTGTTGTTCTTGTTGTGTTGGAGGTCCTGGCTGCGAGTTTGAATTATTATAAAACTGAGTTGATCCTGTCGAATATTGTCTATTATGAAAATTTCTAGCTTGCTGCGAATTAGAGATACTAGCTTGCTGTGAATTAGGGATACCTGCAAATGCAGTGTTAGAACGTAAATTTGTACGTTGACCTTTATTTGCATCCGGTGATGGGTTAGGCTTAGAAAATACATGTTCGGCTTCTGGAGTTCTAGGTGTATTTGCCATATTTAGTCTCATCATATTGTTCATTCCATTGTTCATTTGTGGAACGACTGGGGCACTATTTTGACGCTGCTTTTGCATAGGACGTTGACTGAATTGACCCAATGCAGGTGACTTATAATTGTTCGCTAATGGGGGAGTCAACGGAACTTCCGCTGAAGCATTTGTGGGTGGCATAAAATTCTTCTTTATTTTTGTTGCAGGCTGGTAAGTCTTTGAGCCAACAGATGGGATCAAATTCAAGTCCAACTGTTGAATTTGTGAATGTAATTGCTGATGTGATGAAGATTTGTTCATATTTCTATTCGATCCAGTCTTCATAGCTGGTATATACGGCGATGCCGAAGGGGTTGGTAAGGAACTGCTTGTTCCATTCTCCAAGTTGTAAGGTTCGATTCTTGGAACTTTACGTCCCCAAATATAAGTTTGGTCCGCCCAATGTATATCACTGAACCATCTGCTAGCCATAATTTGGGGGATTGTGAGTCTTTGCAGGGGCTCAGCTACTAACAATTGGTCGATAATATTTACAACATCTGGTGGGACTGCATTAGGACGATATTTGTATTCAACGTTGATAATCTTTTCAAACGTCAAATATTCAGTAGAGCCCTTAAATGGTGGATTACCATGGAAAAGTTGGTATAAGATGCAACCAAGTGCCCATACATCCGATTCGAACCCACATAAATTATGCTTTAATAATTCAGGAGATACATATTCCGCAGTTCCCACAAACGAACCTCTACGGTCGTGGTCATGGTGGCCGTTGTTGGATTCTTGATTTATGCCCTTATAATCGATTTTCTCGCCAGATTCGTCAGAAGTGTTACCAAGGAGCTTTGCGGCCCCGAAATCAGTAATCTTCAAGTTGAAATCATGGCCCACCAAGATATTTTCCGGCTTCAAATCTCTGTGAATTACTCCCTTCAGGTGAATAAAGCTCACTGCATCCAATATCTGACTCATGTAGAACTTCAGAACCGACTCTGACAACGATCCAAATTTTCGGATGATGGAGAGTAGCTCTCCGTATTCGGCAAAGTCCAACACAAAGAAGAGACTGCTTTCATCCTGGAAGGTGTAATACAACTGTACGATCCCCGGGTGTTGCTGCCCCAACCTATGTAACGTAGTTTTCTCGATATTCACATATTTGATCTTATCTTCCTTAACAATATGCCTCTTCGAAAGCACCTTAATAGCGTATGTTTTGTTGCTATGAACATCAAGCGCTGAAAACACCGTAGAATACGATCCTTCCCCAATTCGGGTTCCAAATTGATAATCTTTAACTGTTTTTTTTTTGAGTACGGGTCCATTACCATTTGGTGGGTGGCTACCTATTGGTCCCGACATAGCCAGTTTTGAAATATTAAAATCAACACTGAACGACCTAAAAAGATATTAAAGACTGCTGTTAAGCAAAATGATACCACTGAATTCAACTGACTCAAAATACACTTCGAAATAGTTAAACTGTTTTGTCGAAATACCACTTCTCTTTAGTATGCTACAGTATTGCCTAGGAGTGGCTCGCGTATGTTGACATTCCAAAAGTGGATTTGTGTCACTTCAGAATCAAAGACAATATTACGATAATTCCAAGCCATGTCATCAGTTCGTGCATGCTGAAGACGTCTATTTTTAGTCAGAATAACATAATAGATAGCCAAGACATGCCAGGGAGAGCTTCAATTGCAATGGAGTTTGTAGGTACCGTCTGAATGTAGATACAACTGAATTTGTCCTTGGCAATAATTGGTACTGACATGGTTGAACCTAGTCCGATCTATAAATGAAGTAAGAGATAGCGTCCATCGTAGTGAAAATGACGAGAAATTGAGATTAAGCTGTATTAACCGGGTATAATGGTCGTTAGTAGGACACAGAAGGGTTCATTATAATCAAAGGTAGACATTGAATCATCGCACTATGTGCAGTCCATATGATTAAACAGATTTTCCAGATTGTAGAAGACCGGGTGTAGTCTAGTTAATAGCCGTTTATGGACATTTGTATAAGGTAATGATGAGAGTTACAAGTCAGCGATTACTACAAGGAGGTCTGCTGGTGCTGCGGGTGCTAAAACGAAGACTAAATAATGCGAGTCAGACCAAGAAGGGGTGGTTTTCCACTCGTACGATAGGCGATTCGAACGAGCACTTGAGACGAGTGTTTGACGACCAAGCATACTTTGACAATTTCACGAAGAGTGGTGCTCCTGAAGGGGCGATGAACTCGTTATTCGGGGGAAACGGAGTTGGGCTTTTTAGGAACAGGGCCTTGGATTCGCCCCAGGGGCTAGTTGATTTTTCAGAGGAGTCTCTTGAGAGGGCGAAGATGTTGGTTTCCAATATGATGACTGAGGTGAAGACTAGCGAGAAAGGACGTTTAGAGTACGTAAAGAAGCTTGACCAGTTGAGTGATGTATTATGCCGTGTTATTGATGTAGCGGAATTCATTCGGGTATCCCACCCGAGCCAGAAGTGGGTGGATGCAGCACAGAGGACCCACGAAATCATGTTTGAATACATGAACCAGTTGAACACTAATGTGGAACTATACGAGAGTTTGAGAGATTTGTTATTAGACTCTGCTATTACGGCAAAGTTGAGCAAAGAAGAAATCGAGGTTGGAGAATACTTGAGGCAGGATTTTGAACGATCCGGCATCCATATGGATCCCAACACTAGAAATAACTTTGTTGCCATTACCCAGGAAATTTCTCTTTTGGGGTCTCATTTTAATAACGATGTTCACAGTTTGGAAAGCTACTGGTGTAATATCTCCAGGTCTGAATTTGATAAAATAAATGATACGGTTCTCAAGAGCGAAATTCACGGATATCAATCGAGCTCTCCTGCAAGTCAAAATAAGGACTCTGGCAATATATATATACCTTTGGCCGGTCATATTCCCTACACAATTCTTTCGAAATGTGAGGTTGAGTCAGTAAGAAGAAAAGTTTGGATATCATTGCACAATTCTCCTAAAGAGCAAATCGATACATTAAATGCATTTGTGAAATACCGTGCGTTACTAGCCAAAATGTTAGGTTATAAATCATTTGCACATTACCAGTTAGAACATAAGATGGCCAAGAACCCAGAAAATGTGCTAACTTTACTCAGGAACTTGCAACAAGGTTTAATAAGTAAGCAGGATGGTGTTTGTGAAGAAGTTAAAAAATTGCATTCATTCAAAAAAGTAGACGATGCTGTGATGACCGACGAAGAAATATTAGAGGATGTTAAGCCGTGGGATCGTGAATACTTATTAGCACAATTACAATCTCAAAATTTGAAAGATGAGGAGCCATTGGAGGACATATCAGAGTATTTCTCCGTCGGAACTATTGTTTCTGGCTTATGTAAATTGTTTCATAGTATCTACAATGTCAATTTAATTCCAGAAGCAACGCTAAAGGGGGAAACATGGGACTCAAATCAAGTTAGGAAATTAAATGTTTTCGATGTGACATCTAATAAAAAGCTTGGCTATTTGTATTTAGATTTCTGGTCCCCAAAGGTCTTACCATCACATTTTACTATTGTTTGCCTGAGAAAATTGAATACTGATATCGGTAGCGAGTCTAAGGATGAGATGAGAGAAATGGTTCAATTGGACGAAAATGAGCAACACCAATTGCCGGTGATTTCCTTGGTATGTAATTTTCTGAAACCACAAGGGACTGGAATTGGCAGATTCACTGGAATGGATAGTCGTAAGCCAACATTATTGTCCTTGGACCAAGTTGATACTATCTTCCATGAAATGGGACACGCAATGCATTCTATGATTGGTAAGACGGATTTGCATAACTTGTCAGGAACTAGATGTGTCACAGACTTTGTTGAGTTGCCATCAGTGCTCATGGAATCATTCAGTAAAGATCCCCGTGTATTATGCAAAATCGCAAAACACTATCGTACGAAGGAACCATTATCCAAAGAAACCTTGGCTAAACATCAATCTCATAGAGTCTTATTAGAAGAAAGTGAAACCTTCATGCAATCTAAAATGGCAATGTTAGACCAAGTATTACATAACGAGGATATCATAAATAGTGGTATCAAGAATTTTGATTCGACTGCCGTATACCATCATTTGGAGAGTCAATTGAAGTTATTTGCTGATAAATGGTCTACATGGCACGGAAAATTTCCTCATTTGTTTTCCTACGGAGCAGTATACTACTCATATCTCTTAGATAGAGCAATTGCAGAGAAAATTTGGCACGGCCTTTTCAAGGAGGATCCTTGGAGCCGTGAAGCAGGTCAAAAGTATAAGGACAGTATTCTTAAATGGGGTGGCACAAGAGATCCATGGATCTGTTTGGCCGATGCCCTAGGTGATGAAAGATTAAGCAAAGGTGATTCAAAGGCCATGGAAATAATAGGCCAAAAAGTTTAGATTTGTAATTATTTATTTATTTATTTATTCTGTACATATATTAATAATTGACATTTATAAATGCGAGCTCATTGTAAAATCCGTTTGTTTACATTTCGAAATTTATTTACATTCTGTTATCTACAGTTTTTTTTTTTCAGCGGCAGAAAGCATAAGATATACTGAATGATGTCTACATCAAACGATAAAGAGAACCCCGGCACGGGACCCAATGATAAACATGATGCTAGTTGTGAATATTCACCCAATGCGTCAAAAAAAGCGTTGAAACCAATATCACCAAATAAAGGACCAAACTCTTATGTTGGCAAATTGAATTTCTTACAAGGTGATAATATAGACAGTCATTTCAACAATATTCATAGTTCACACCAGCAGCTTCATCATGTGTTGCATAACTTGGAAGTGCAGACGACACAAACAGGTATAGACTTAGGCCAATTATGTGATAGGCTGAAAAACAACAATCAATATTTGAATAAATTGCTAGAAAACATAACAAATTACTCGAACGAGGTTATTACGGAAGGAAATGCTACGAAGAATGATATCACCAACATAATAAATAGACTAGACCTATTCAATGAAGAGCTCAAAAAAATCAGAACATCAGATAATTCAAAAAATTTAACTGACAATATAAGAGAAATTGTTTGTGTAGAAATGGGCAAGAATGCTCCTTCATCTCAACAAGACATAATAAATAAAGTAAAGGAAGCGGTGTCTGATTGTTTGGAAGGAATTCCAGTCAATAATGATTTCAAAGCATTAGCGAAATCAATCAATGAATCACATACAACAAATGACCAAAGGCATGAAAAGCTACTTAATGAAGTCTTACATATCCAACAGAGAGTTCCTGAAAGCGATCTTGTTAGACAGATAGTAGATCCAATTGTTGCAGAACTTAAATCTGTTTCATTGGACAGCAACTCTCTCAAGTTATTGGGCGACATACTTAACATTTTAAACAGAGAAAAAGAAACTAATAAAGCAACCGAATTGTTTCAAAATATATCCACAGAGAAGCTTGAAAATATCACCAAGGAATTGTCTACGCATGGCGAATCAAAACAGGCTATAAACGAATTAGTTCGTCGTTTAGATGATTTACACCAAGAGACGCAGACTCAAAATAATGATATCTTGCTACAACTCTCAACTGGAGCAGTACAAAGCAATGAATTATCTAATCTTCAATCTTCCATGGTTGATGTTAAGAAAGCCATGGAATCAAAAGATGCTCAAATCTCCAAGTTGATAAAGCTTGTAGAAAATCAATCTACTTTGATCAATGATTTAACATCTAAATCTGAAAAATTAGACACCAAGCAAAATTTAGAGAAGAGCATAACTAACCTCGAACACAAATACGACTTGCTATGTAAAAACTATGAACAAAAATTCAATGATCTTAAATTAGTTCAAAGTGAATTTGAGGAACTTGCGGAGAATACACGGAATATAAATACAGATACGACTAGATCAACAGATATGAATCAGCCTGAGAAGATACTCAGATTACAAAAGATTCGTCAATTACACAACTTGAAGATGAATGAGATTCAAGAACATAATCATTCAAACAATTTGAAGACAAATAAAAGAATAATGAGTACCCCAATAACACATAAGCTGCGTGATTCACACCAAATATTTGACCAAATCAATGAATATAATGAATCTCTGAATAATTCAGAAGAAGAATTTTAAAATTCGGTATATACAAAGATTATTTACATAATATACAATAATAGCTTTCTTCTAATTTTGATAAATTCTCTCTTTACCATCCATATATGGCCTTAAAACCTTAGGAATAATAATTGACTCAGTGGTTGCGTCATAAAATTGCTCAATTATCGCAACGATTACTCTAGGTATTGCAACGCAAGTTCCATTTAATGTGTGGATGTACTTTAATTTATTTTCATCTTTACCAT